GTTTGTCGGATTATCCTTCGTCTCGCGCGCGTTCACTGATCAATCTATTCCTCGAAGATGGAGGAGACGTCCTCCTGATCAACAGTCTACTCGGCCCCTCCCTCGTATTAGACCCGTAGGCTATCCCAGCCTCGACGCCCGCGGACGATGTCGACGTGCTGCCGCAACCTGGGACAGGTATCGAATGGCAAGACCTGCGTCGCCTGGAACCTCCGGGTAGCCGACACCCGGGGGCTTCCTCCTACGACGCCTGTCTGCGTTCGGATCTGATCAGGTCGCAGCCATGCTCGGGCGGTGCCTCCTACTCCAGTGAAGCTTCGATGGCAAGGACAGCTGGTCTGTGGCCCCTACTGAGGGCCGTTCGGTGGCCATTGCTAGGTGAGGAGAGTAGTCGACAGTCGACAACGACTGCTCTCCTCAGCTGGCCCGTCATCGACGCCCTTACCCGACGCCGCCACTTGCCGCACATCACCTCTTGGTTCTGGGTTTCCCTTGCCTTGTACCCAACAAAGCCATGCATCCGGTTCGGTGCCTGCGTTCTTCTCTCGGCCGCATTTCCACATACCCCATGGACACATATCGTCGTACCTAGGATTCAACTCCTATATCCAGGATTCAACGTCAACTCCTATGCGACGGACTTATATCCCTATACCCTCGAATCTGTGTTCCCGTTTGGGGACCCGCTCGCGTACACGCATACAGTCGCATCCACCCAGGATTTACATCCGTATACCCAGACTTGCATCCCTGGCCGCATTTCCACATACCCTGTGGACGTCCTCATACGATGGACTTGTATCCCCTTACATATACTCCGGATCTGTGTTCCCGTTTTTGTTTGGACTCGCTCGATACCCATATGTCCCCCCATGACTCGGCCCTATGTGTCTATTCGCCCAGCATCGTCCATCTACGTATCGGTCCGCTTATCTCGAGTCTCGTTTCTTGGCTTCAGTTTGATCCTACATAATACTGTACGAGTATAATTATCCGCTGACGTTCTTCATATAGTTAGATGTACCGTGGTATCTTATGTTTCCATGCTTCTAGATAGTGTATCCCACGAGACCTACGTTCTCGTTATATAGCATGCGCATATAGACTGACATATTCGTTATACCCCATGTGCCCAGTACTGGCGCGCTTCTCTTCTGCCTAGAGCCATCTTCATGACTGGAGCAATACGTTCGGTATAGCTTCGTAGCGAAGAACGCACTGACGAGTCACAGTGGCCTTCGCAGGCGTGTGATCTGACCAATCGCCCTGAAGTCGACGCCCGACCAGGGTCCTGGACGATCTCCGCCTGTCCGGCGCGAAACTTCAAGCGATGACTTAGCGCAATACTGCTGTAACGACAAACTTGGTAGTATAGACCTTACTCACGAAGAAGATTCACTCTTCACGAGGGAGGTCCAATGTTTTCTCTGGATTAGTGTTCACAAGGGATACATGATTGCTGGCAGCGGGAGAGTATGTCGGATGAGATGAAAACCCGAGTGATCTGCCCGATATGTGGGGAGACGGAAACTATCACCCGCGTACTCTTTGCATGTGTCGCGGAAGGACAAAAGACGGCGTGGACCATGTTCAAAATGCTGTGGACCTCGACGGGACTCCTGTAGTGGAAGCGGAATTGGGTCACAGTTTTGTCGCAGCCTGCCTGCAGCACGAAGATAACGATGGGACCTGCTGGCCTCACCGGGAGCAACATTGGACAGTCCTCAGGCTGGCGGTGGAAACGGCGTTTTTCATCTAAAAACTAAGATGTGAGCGGGCGATATTTGCGACGGGCAGGACTTCTCGGCCAGGGAAGTCAGCGAGCTTTGGCATGCGAATTTCGATAGCAGGATGAACATGAACCGAGGGTCGACAGCAGAAGTATATGGTGAACCGACGCTCGAGCCAACCTCTGTATCGACGTCATGAGAACCGGTGCTTGAGAATTGCGAAAGCCTCCCGCCGGACGGGGTGACGAAGAGTGGGGTTTCGACAGGTATGAGGAGGATAAACGACAGGAGAGAGCTGGGCGACCCGCGGTGACCGGGTGACCGGTGACCGGGACCTCTGAATTCAACCAGCGACCATCGATCCTTGGTGTCGTTTCCGATGTCGAGCTGTGCTTCCAACGTTTCGCCTGAGTAGCTCAGGACCTACCTTGTGCCAACGACCTGCCTAAGTCGCTCCTACGCATGTGAGAGCAATCCTGGCGGGTGTCCTGTTGAGTAGTGTCCGCAGCATGTCTTTTACATCTTGCACATGATTTCGTGGTAGATGAGAGGTAAACGGCACCAGGAAGCAGGAACTGAGTACTAAAGGGAAATGCAATCGCGTGATGATGGCGTTGAGATAGCATGGACGACAATACGGTAATTTACAATGGTGCAAGAGTGCAAGCGGTGAGTAAGTTAAAGAGACAGGAGAAGAGACGATCCACACCGCGCGATGTGAACAACAAACCACGAGTCGGTGTGGCAGAGGAGCGACTCGCACAAAGCCACCGGTTCATGGCGCAGGGAGGTACAAGCGACGAGGGGTCGGTTAATCTGCGGTTGTCTTCAGCTTCTTCTTCGCCGGGCCCTCCTCCGCATCGTCTTTCTTCGCCTTGGGTTTGGGTTTTGGCTTGGGCTTGGGCTTCTCATCCTCGTCCACGTCCATTGCATCATCGTCCTTGGTCTTGGTCTTCGGCTTCGGCTTAGCCTTCGGCTTCGATGCGGCCTTCTTCGGTTGATTGTCCTCGTCCTCCTCCGCGTCGCTTTCGTTCGCCTTGCCCTTCTTCGCAGGGGCCTTCTTCTTAGGTGCCGCCTTCGCTTTCCCCTTGCCCTTGCCCTTGGCCGCCTGTAGGAAGTCGCGATCGCCGCTCGCGTCCGACGCAGTCTGGCCGCCCTCCGAGTCTGAGTCTGACTCGGTAGGTGAACCCGAATCAGAATCCGACGCCTCGAAATCCTCGTCTGAGTGATCGGGCAGGAGTGAGCACAAGGGTCGTCCACCAGGACAGTGCGAACTACTCACCATCCTCGCTATCATCGTCGTCACCCCCGCGCCGCGGCTTGGGCACTTCTTCTCCCGAGCTCGCGACGCTCTGCATCTCCTCGTCCTCGTCATCGACCCCAATCGCGAGCTCGCCCTCCATCATCTCGTTCTTCGTCTTCACCTTCTTGTCCTGGAGGTACGCGCTCACGACCTCGTGCTCCTCCTTGTTGACGCTCGTGAAGGTGAGGTCGGACCCGCTCTTAGTGACAATCTTCATGTCAAACGTGCGCGCCGCGTTTGCACCCATGCTTGTGCCGAGGCGAGAGAACACGACCTGGTGGATGTCCGAGAGCTCGATGAGCGTCGGTTGCTTCGAGACGAAGAAGACGTATTTCTCGAGCAGGAAGAGGTCGCCTTGGACAGCCTTGAGGTTTGCCTTCACGGACGGGTGGCCGTCACGGCTGGGGTTGCGCAGGCGGTGTGAGCGGCGTGCGCCCGAGGGGGAGGAAATGGAGGAGACGTACCTTTGGAAGTTGCCGGCGCCGATGATCTTCTTCTTGGAAAGTGCGCGGAAGACGCCAGAAACGACCTCGTAGGTGGGATCCTCGTAGTTCTTCTTCAGTCTGTCGTACTTCGCGATCTCCTCCCTGTTGGCCGTAGTCAGCGAGCTTGCCCCCAAAAGGGGGTCACAGGTACATACTCCGCCATATTCAGCTCCGCAGTGATCTCCTCCTCACGATTGAATTGCATAACAAGATATTGATATCTCGTTTGACCTTGACGTATGGGGATGCTGAGCCCGAGCTGTAGGTTGTGGTTATAAAGAAGGATCCTTGTAGGATAGCGGCTCAACTCACGATGAAGAGAACATGGAGGTCGTCCTTGGGAAGCAAGAACAATTTGGAGATGCTGCTGTATATAATCTTGTAGTCGTACGTTCTTCCGCGCAAGCGCAAAAAGTCGGGATACATATCGACATCATATCGACCTCTTGGCGTGAGGACGTTGACCTCGTCGAAGCTGAGGATGATGTCACCGGAGACCTGTCCGAGCTCGGCCTTCTCTTTTACGAGGTCATGGAAGGCTTGTGCGGCACTGATCTCCTCGCCATCTTCCTCCACATCGGACTTTTGTGAGCCAGAGTCGGAACCACGGGACTTTGTCTGAGTGCCTGGGACATAGAAGCGGATCTCGACCATCTCATCGGGAGCATTTCTGGATGGTTTCCGGTTTTGTGTGGCAAATTCCAGAGATACCTCGGTACGACCAGCGATGTTGGAGTTAGCTACTTGCGTCAGTGGGAGCTCAAAGGCGGTCTTATTCGACACAAGGAACGCAAGCTCTTGGCCTAAAATTCGAAGTCGGTAGGTGGCTAGGACATAGTCGCCGGGGGACGCACCCTGGAAGTCTGTCACGCCCCAGTTCCAACCCTTGAATGACACTTCCTTCGTCTCAAGTGTGATGCTGAAGTGTTGTTTGAGCAGATGTGCGAGGCGGTCGTGGTCCTAGGAGATACAATAGATGATCCGCCACAACAAGGCTCGGAAGCCAAGCTGACTCACCTCGCGAACAAAGCCGTCGAAAGTCTCTTTTGAACGGTCCTTCAAGCCCACCCTGAGCTGGTAGTTCCGCGCGACGCGAATCCACTGTGCCCATTTGATGTCCGAGGCCTGCATCGCAACCATCTGGTCCCCCTCCTCGGCCTTCCACGCCATACCGCTGACCGCGATACGGAACTCTATCCAGGCAAAAGAGATTGAGCCCATAGCCCAGGGATCTCACACACACCCAAGGAACACATACTGCCGACTTCTGGGGAGAGTCCGTGGTAGATCCCGTCAAATTGTGTGGTCGTCATGTTCGCGTGCCAGAGGGGGAGCACAGGCGAGAGGGAGATGGTGGTAGTAGGTGAAGGAGAGAGTGTGGCTGGGACTCGTCGCGGGTCGCGCGAATTGGAGGACGCGTTGCGGAGTTTGAACACGCGCTGGAGTTCGCGCGCGCCGGAGCCTCTCCTCGCTCGGCCTCAGCTGCCTCTCGCGCGTCCTGGCCTCCCGCCTCGAGCTCAGAGCCCTCTCCGCCGCCGTCCCCGTCTAGCTGCCCTTGGCCTCTCTGCCTCTACCTCTCCCTCCTCTCCCGCTGCTGTCGCTATGGATGCCATCTATAGCCCCAATCGCATGTCCTGGGGCAATGGCCTCCTCTCCCCGCTCTCTCCGACCACAATCGACTCTCTCGAAGCGCGTTCTCGGGATGTCCAAGAACGGACGTTTTGCAAATGGTACTTGGTCCGTATACACGGATATGATGCCTTACAGACCAAGCGTTCTCCTCCAGGCTCAACACCAAGCTGGAAGGGCATGGCTACCCTCCGATGACTTCTCTAGTTCGGGACCTGTCCGATGGCGTACGCCTGATTCAGCTCATGGTAGGTCCCCCTACCCGTTACTCCGCCTTCGCGCTCAAAAGTGAATCGCTCAGGAGATAATGGGTGCGGATTGAACCATCATTGTCTTTTTGATAGAACTCAATCCCGTCCAGGCGATACGTCCTTGGGACGCTATAACAAAGCACCCAGGATGCGCGTCCAGAAGGCCGAGAATGTAAACAAGGCGCTGGAATTCATAACGTCGCGCGGAGTGAAGCTCACAAATATCGGTCCCGAAGGTCAGGATGTTGGCTCCTTACAGCAGACCTTGCCCCGAACATTACTACAGATATCATCGACGGGAACCTCAAGCTCATCCTCGGCATGATATGGACCCTCATCCTACGCTTCACTATCGCGGACATCAGGTCCGTTGCTTTCGGCCTGCTTCCTATCACCACGAGCAAAGTGTTCTGAGTACTAGCTATCCTGCGATTCTCCCTTGAAGTGAGGAAGGTTTGTCGGCAAAAGAGGGTCTGCTTCTCTGGTGTCAGCGCAAGACAGCTCCCTACAAGGAATGCGACGTCCAGGACTTTTCTTACAGCTGGTCTGACGGCCTTGCTCTGTGTGTACATTTCCGTTCTGAGTTAACACCTTTCGACATTAAACCATGGAGTTAGGTGCGCGCTCATTCATTGTCATCGGCCTGACCTTATCGACTATGACAAACTGGACAAGGTGAATTGGCTTCATGAATCCCAAACAAGCTAAGGTACTCACCTGCCGTAACCCAGACCGACCGTCATGGTAACACTCGTCTAGCCTTCCAAGTCGCTCAGGAGCACCTCGGTATTCCTGTTCGTCTACTGTTCCCCTTGCACGTCAGTGATCGTTTATGGATGTCCTTTCCACTTCGCGCAGCAACTGCTTGAGGTCGCCGATCTGTGCGATACCCAACACCCCGACGAGCGTAGTGTGATGACCTACGTCGCGGGCTATTTCCACGCGTTCTCCTCCATGGGTGCGTACAGACATCATTTGAATCCTCTTGTATCGGAAGTAAGCCTCTAGTAGAACAAACCGAGACCGTGTCACGACGAGTCGAGAAGTTCGCCGAGCTCATGCAGTCCGTCTGGACAAGTCGGAACGACTACGAGAGCCGCGTGCGCGAGCTCCTCCGGTCCATGTCCGACATGCGGGCCGTCTGGGCCGCCAAGTCTTTCGTCGGCACGTACGCGGACGCGCTACAGCACCAGCAATCCCTCCAGACGTACAAGCAGACGACGAAGCGCACGTGGGTGACTGAGAAGCAGGACGTCGCGACCCTCTTCGGGAACGTCCAGACGAAGCTGAAGACGTACGGCCTGAGGGAGTACGTGCCGCCTGCCGGGCTGTCTCTCGCAGACGTGGACAAGGCGTGGAACGAGCTCTTGCAGGGCGAGGCTGCGCGCTCGCGCGCTATCAATGCTGAGATACGACAGTACGTGCACACACTTTGCGGCCGTACACTTGTGCGACTGGGATCTGACACCTCGTGTCTAGAATCAAGGACAACCTCAGACACAGATTTGCGGACCTCGCGAACAACTTCGAGAAGCGCCTGCGGCTGATGTCGTCCGAGCTCGTCGCAATAGAAGGCCCACTAGAAGAACAGCTCGAACAGGCCCGGCTGCTACAGGCTCGCATACCGCCGTTCTCGGAAACGCTAGAAGCTGTGATCGCCGCCGAGGACGAGTGCCGAGCGGCGAACGTTGACGAGAACGATTACACAGTGTTCACCGTGGAAGATCTACGATTCGAGCTCGAGCTCGTTACAGGAAGCATAGCGAAGAAACTTGCGTTCATAGACAATCAGGTTCGCTCGCCCCTTCGCCCACGATCAGGAGATGCTAACCATGGTTGCAGATCGTGTCCCGGAACATGACTAACCTGACCCCAGCGCAGCTCGAACAATTTGAGAGCACGTTCAGGTACTTCGACAAGGATGAGTCGAACACGCTCAACCAGTCGGAGATGTCGGCCGCCCTTGCTAGTCTTGGCATTGTGTATTCGGTGAGCTGCGAGCTGCACCGACGATCCTGATGTCATATGCTTGGCTAACTGCGGCCCAGGACGAGGATATGGACTTAATATATGATCAGCTTGTGGAGGACTATGGCGCAGTCACCTTCGAGGCATTCATCAACCTCTTAGTACGTGCTTGGTCTCTGACTCCGCCTGCGGCGCACTGGCTAAGATTGTCCTAGGTCGACATCATGGAGGACCAGACATCACCGGCGCAGCTGCGCGATTCGTTCAGAGGCATCGCAGGGGACAAGGTGAGTCGTACTTCGTCCTCTAAACGTGACCAGACCCCTAACCGTACACGCTCACACAGCCCTACGTTACCGAACTGGATTTGCGAGTAGCGCATCTACCTGCGGGCGCGATCGAGTTTCTCCGACAAGCGATGCCCTCTAAGTCAAACGACATCGGGGAACCTGAGTATGACTACGAACGGTGGCTAGACGAGGTCTTCGAGCAGGATGCGCAGTGACAGCGCCCCGACTGCGCGCATCCACATGTACGAACGTAACTGCTTCAGTGCCTTGCTATGGTCGACGCGCTCGGGAAGCGCTCTCTGTTTCTGACCCTCCTTTGCATCGCGCACATCCATGGACATAGATCGCTTGCAACACTAAATAGAGTACTGTATTCAATATTTCCGTTATCCATCGCTTTACATAGACGACCCAGGGAGAGTCGAGAGGGGGACGAATGCCACCGCCTCGCCCAATCGGAGCGCGGCAATCGCCGTTGTCGCCCATCGTGATATACTTATAGCAGTCTCTCGCTTCTAACCTCGACCACCATCTAAGGCTCCTCCTCTACCTCTCGCCTCCCCTTACACATATCCCGCAACCATGGTACGTCGCCGATCCCCTGCGCATGCGCCGCCCCGCGCCGTATGTGCCTCTCTCCGGCCTGCAGCGCGCTGATCTGGGTACTCCTTTCTGCCTCCCTCCGGGCCCTCGCGCGCACGCGCATCGTGCATCGCACATCGCATCCGCCCGTGACCGCTCCAGTCCTCCGGCGTCGGCGTGAACCCCGAGTGCCTCTCGGCGTACCAGGAGCTGAAGCTGGGCAAGAAGTCTAAGTACATCATCTTCACGCTCAGCAAGGACAACACGGAGATCGTCGTCGAGAAGACGGGTCCGACAAGCGCAACGTATGACGACTTCGTCGGGGACCTCCCGGAGAACGAGCCCCGGTGGGCGGTGTACGACTTCGACTACGAGAAGGAAGACGGCGGGAAGCGGACCAAGATCACGTTCTTCTCCTGGTGAGTGCACCCTCCCCGTATCCGGCCCGTGGGGGATCCCTTGTACCGCGAACTGCACTTGCGTTCACGTCTGCGTCCGTCCCGACGCATCAACCTCGATGGCGGACGACACAAGACGTACTCGCCATAAGCGCGTGCGGCAGAGGGCGCGGAGGGACTCAGGAGCTCGCTAACGTTATCTACGCGACACACGCGATCGCGCTGATCAGGTCGCCCGACGACGCGAAAATCAAGCAGAAGATGTTGTTCGCGTCCTCGAAGGATGCGCTCCGACGCTCCCTGGTCGGCATCGCGGCCGAGATCCAGGGAACGGACTACAGCGAGGTCGCACACGAGAGTGGTGCGTAGCATGTCTTGTCGTCTCTGTGTAGCAAACGCTGACTGCGTCTCGCTTCTCGCGTCTGCTGGCTTCCCTGCCTCGCTCCCTACCCGATCCCCCGGCCTCGCGTCCTTACGTCACGCGTAATGGCTAAATGTTCGGGATCCGACGTTAACGATACAGTGTTTGAGAAGGTCTCGCGAGGCGCTTGAGCGGCTGGCCCTTGCGATTACCCCTTGCACACGCGCATGATATCGATGCCGATGTCCACGACTCCGCACACCCATTGTTTATTGACGACTCGGAGACGATTCGGACGATACTGGTGGAGGCTTGTAGTCATATAACGAACGATCTCTCTTGGCCACCTTGGCCGAGAGCTGAAGAAGTGCCGTAGAACTGTATAAACTCTGACATACCTCTTTTCTGCCATTGTCATCGTGTGTACGGCGTTGTTCACTGAGCAGTTTGGCGCGTGCTTGTTGAGTCCGGACACCGCCACCAGAATGGGCGCTCCGACATTTATGACGCCTCCCCGCGGCTTGCCGAAACGAGCTATCTGAACACCAACTTGCCAACTGCTTGCTTTGACTGTGTCCATCGAAAAGCTCAAGCCTCTACCTCTGTTTTGGAGGTCTGTCAATCGTATCTATTTGCATATAAATGATGTCTGTCCCGGCAGTATCTACCTCTGGTGAAAGCGCAACCATTCCCGGCGGATACAATGGCGACACGCCTTCACCATCTGCGGAGGACGAGAACATCCCGTTGAACCTGCGGCGTGCGGCACATCGGATGCAGTTCCCTCCATCTTATGTTGTCGTCGGCTTCTACAGGCTGCTGACAGACCCCCACTTGAGGGTGCCCGCGTGGAAGAAGTGCGAGCACGCCTTCATGAGGGGTGCTACCGTCGGTCTCGTTTGGGTGAGCATGCTTCGAGTTTCGAGAACGTGTGACAGTACATGCTCATCTCTCGAAGGCTACGGGGACCTATAAGATACAGAAGTTATTCGTGGAATACTTCCTTATCAAGTGAGTTCCGGCCTTGCAGCGAAATACTTGCACACTGCAGCTCACGATCTTCGCAAAGTTCCCCCCGCGTGACGGGACTGTCCCGGGACGCGCTCTTTGGCATCCCGCTGCCCTTCGACGTCCCAACCTGTACGCCCTCTATCCTCATTGTCTAGGGTCACACGAACTGAGCTTGTTTCCGTACAGACGCCACCCTCTTCTTCCTCTCGAGCCAAGTGTCGGCCGTCATCTACTTCTTCCTTTCCCGCAACATCCGCATCGCCCGCGAGCGTGCTTACGAGCAGACCATTCAGTCCCGCGGCAAGGGCGCCGACTGGTGGCAGCCCTATGTCGAGGAGTGGGACAACCCGCCCCGGGTAGAGCCTTCTAAGTGGAAGCTCTCGTTCTTCATGGGCGGGCCCGTCGGCCGTATGGTCGCCAAGGGTGAGTCACCGCTACACATCCTATAATGAGGACTACTTCAGTACTGACAGGCCCTGCTGTGATTGTGATAGTGCTCTCTGTCCCGCTCAATTTCATACCGTTCGCCGGCATGTTTATCGCCGCGGCGTTCCGCGCGCTGGGCACAGCGCGCTACCTACACGAGCCTGTGCGTCCCAGATGACCGGTTGAAATATCCTCGCTGATATCCACACGACCGTCGATGTTCAACGTCATTAGTACTACAAGGCAAAAGGCATGACCAAGGAACAGATTGCCGTCTTCATCGAAGAGCGCAAATGGGAATACCGAGGTACGCATACATGCACACTCTGTAGTCCCCCGCCTGCTCTCCGCTAAGTCTGTCTCAATCATACCAGTCTTCGGCTTTACCGCCGCTCTCGTAGAGCGCATCCCCATCATCGGGCTGATATTCTCAGTCTCCAACCGCATCGGCGCCGCCATGTGGGCCCACGGTACGTATCCTCTTAGCAGGGTATGTAGGAGACTTGCTGAGATCGAGCTGTGCCTAAGATCTCGAGAAGAGGCAGCACTACGTCGCAACGACAAAAGCCGGCCTCGCCGCGAGAAGTCCTTATCTGAGCTCACAACCCAAGATAGAGTAAACCTAAGGAACATCGCGACAAGTTCTGCATATGAGTGCGTTTGTAGTGCGTACTATATGCGCTTGCGGTCGTTGCCACAAGCCATCGACGCGGAGCTGCAAACGCTGTACTTTGAACTGTGTAATTCATATTGTATCGAGTAGGCTACGCACTTGCTAACGTTCGCCGGAGGAGCATATATCCAAGACCGAAGGTCAGGGTCGTGAACGCCTGCCTCAAATGTGGCTCCTACGAGCGGGCAGTAAGGTTAATTTGCTGCCCGGTCAGATCAGTGCTAGACACGCACTCGCAATAGCTACTGTGACTCGTTAGCGCGTTCTTGGCAACGAAGATATACCGAACGTATTGCTCTAGTCATGAAGACGGCTCTAGGCAGAAGAGAAACGCGCCGGTACTTGGCACATGGGGTATAACGAATAGGTTAGTCTAAATACGCATGCTATATAACGAGAACGTAGGTCTCGAGGGGTACATTATCCAGAAGCATGGAAACATAAGATACCACGGTACATCTAACTATATGTAGAACGTCACCGAATGATCATACTCGTACAGTATGTATGTAGGATCAAGCTGAAGCGAAGAATCGGGACTCGAGATAAGCGGACCTGTACGTAGATGGACGATGCTGGGGAATAGGCACATAGGGCCGGAATGGGGGACATATAGGTATCGAGCGAGTCCAAACAGAAACGGCAACACAGATCCAGGGTATATGTAAAGGGACACAAGTCCAGGGTATGATGATGTGGATCCTGGGTATCAGGAAATGTATCCATGGGGTATGTGGAAATGTGGCCAGGGATGCAAGTCTGGGTGTACGGATGCTGGGTATGATGCGACTGTATCCGTGTACGCGAGCGGGTTCAAGAACGGGAACACATATCCAAGGGTATAGGGAGACAAATCCGGGCCACAGGAGTTGAATCCTGGATATTGGAGTTGGATCCTAGGTATGACGAATGTATCCATGGGGTATGTGGAAATGTGGCCGATGGAAGGACGCAGACCGAGACATCATGCAGGACTTCGTACATGTAACAGGCAACGGGAACCACTCACAAACGAGATCCGTATATGCGGGGTGAGACGAGACGGTAGACAGAACCAGGCACAGGGCACAGGGAGACGCAGAACCAAGAGGTGATGTGCGGCAAGTGGAGGCATCGGGTAAGGGCGTCGATGACGGGCCAGCTGAGGAGAGCAGTCGTTGTCGACTGTTGACAGCTAGCGATCGCCACCGACCGGCCCTCAGAAGGAGCCACTGACCAGCTATCCTTGCCACGAAGGCTTCACCGGCGTAGGAAGCACCGCCCGAGCGGGCTCAGGTACGAAAGCAGACAGGCGTCGTAGGAGGAAGCCCCCGGGCGTCGGCTGCCCGGAGGTTCCAGGGGATGCAGGTCTTGTCGTTCGATGCCTGTCCCAAGTTGCGGTAGCACGTCGACATCGTCGGCGGGCATCGGGGCTGGGACGGCCTAAGGGTCTAATACGAGGGAGGGGCTGAGTAGACTGTTGATCAGGAGGACGTCTCCTCCATCTTCGAGAATATATTCATCAGTGAACGCGCGCGAGGCGAAGGATAATCCGACGAACCTCAACAGTGCAATACTCTAGTGGGGCTGAGTGAACTGTTGGTCCAGAGGACGTCTCCTCCATCTGCGAGGACGACTGCGTCAGCGAACACGCACGAACAGAAGAATCGTTCGACGAACCTCAACAGTCTGGCACTCTAGTGGGACAGACCTCACATCCCTCGTTGGCGACTCCTACAGGACTCCGCATGAGCACCTCCCAAAGCGCATAGAACAGAAGACACTCACCAGTAGAACAATCATCACCTCCACCAGCAACAGGCCTCGAAAAGCGCGGTACTTGGGCGGAGGTCTCCAATCCGGATCGGGGGTATAGGTATTGAGCGGAACCAAACAGAGACGGAACGACAGACCCGGCGTATGACGATACAAGTCCAGGGTGTAGGGATGTGAATTCGAGGTATGAGGGAACGCATCCGTGGAGGACATTGAGATGCGGCCAAATTGGTGTGCGCGGGCGAGTCCAAGAAGAGGAAAGGCTGACCCAAGGGTATCAAGATACGAGTCAAGGGTATAGGAATGTGAATCCTGGGTATGAGGCAATTTATCTGTGCTTGAAGGTGAGGGAGATTCACTCTCATGCGCGAACCGTGGAGGCGGAGGGAGCAGACGCATGGAACAGGGGTTGGATCGCGAGGCGATGCGCAGCTAGCGATGGATACAGGCCGACAGGTGGAAGCGTCGGGTAAGAGCCCGTCCCTCACTTGCGCCGCACAGCCTCGGGGTGGAGGAGAGCTACAGCTGTTCGTGCAGGATTTCAGAGCGGCGAAGACAGCGAGTCCTCTATCAAAGAGGGACTAGGCCTGGACGGCCGAAGTGGGAAGAAAGAGTCGGGTCGACGTGCCCCTCAGTAGGGGCTACCAGCGGACATCAGTCGTCTCCGACGCCGAGACTTGACCGGCGTATCGGGGAATGGCGTCAGAGGAAGCACGGCGATTTGCGAGAGCGAATACCGACTCTTCGCAGCCAGAGGCGATGCCGGAGTGAACGCCTCGCGATCCCGAGTCCTGTTCATACGAGGCGTCTGCGGGGGACCGCCGGCTGGTTGACCAGAGTCCAGTAAAAGTGGGTCATAGGGTGCGCATAGACAAGGGGAGCGGGCAGAACCTCCTCCATCTGCTCCTCGA